GACATATTAAGGAATCTAGAAAAAAAGCAACGGTGTGTACTTATCTCCAAACTCATCAAGTTGTATACATTAAATATGTACCGATTTTTGTCTGTTCATTATACCTCAAAAAAACTATTTAAAAAAAAACATTTTACATCAAGTTCCCCCTAACCTCTTCATGTATAATTTCTTTTTTGGATTATTAATAAAGATTATGCTTTCCAAGAAAAGGGAAGAAGTGAAAGGCAATGGGACCACATAGTGGAGGGTAACAAGCAATCTTGGATGGTTTGACTTTCTTCTGGGCACTGGCAATGTTCTAGGAAGCAAATAATACCATCTAATCTATGCTTGAGGAAGGTGACCCAGCCAACAGTGTGAAGGGTAGACTGGAATGGCAAAGAGATACCTGCCAAAAAGCTGTTGCAAAAATAGGCAGAGGATGTGAACAGGTTATTCACCTTCTCTCTTCTGTCCCTCCTCTGAAACCAAGGAAAGGCTGAGTCCACACGTTGAAATCAAGCTGCAGGGGAAACGGGCACTGATGCTAGAGCCAGGCAGGACCCCATCAGCACAAAGGTTTTCAAGGATGTACACAGGAATGGAAAAACAGGTGTGCGCAGCAATGGAAACAGAAGGTCGAAAAACAGAATCCACAAAAGTAGGAGGGAAGCAGGATGGTGAGCTGTATCACTAAGCATTTGCCAGTTCTATGCCTTTAACACATCTCATGAATGCTTCCTGCTCTGTGGCCCCACTCCTCTGGGACATATGAAGGGAGAACTCCACGTGACAGTGGAGGCAAAGATCACACACCTGCGTCTGCAAGCCAAGGGGTGCCAAGGACTGATGGCCACGGCCAGAAGCCAGGGGGAAGAGAGGAAGGATTCTCCCCCACAGTATCAGAGGAGAGCATGGCCCTAATGACACCTTGATTTCAGACTCCTAGCCTCCAGAGCTGTGAGGCAGTGTGGTTCTGTTGCTTAAACCATGCAATGTGTGATTCTTTGTTATAGGAGCCCCAGGAAACTTATACAAGCACCCACTGCAGTAGAAGTATCTGAACTTATTTATGGACTTAGTACGTGTATATACGTACTACTATACTAATGCAGGTTTGTTAATGGTGGGTACATTTTATTGGTTTTCTTTCATAGACTAGTATTTTTTTAATATAAAAATAGAATTTTTAAAGGATGAAACATTGACTACATGATATTTTTAAATCATTTCTACTTTATTAATGGTACAAAAATGTGTATCAAGCCATGAAGAGACAAGGAAGAGACGTAAATGCATATTGCTCAGTGAAAGAAGCCAACCTGAAAAGGCTGCATGCTGTACGATTCCAACTATCTGACATTCTGGAAAAGGCAAAACTATGGAGACAGTAAAAGGATCAGTGGTTGCCAGGGGTTGGGAGTGGGGGGTGAATAGTGGAGAACAGAGGATTTTTAGGACAGGTAAAATACTCTGTATGATACTAAAATGATGGATACATGCCTTTACACATGTATCCCAAACCATAGAATGTACAATGCCAAGAGTGAACTTTTTTCTGGATTTTGGGTGATTATGATGTGTCCATGGAGGTTCATCAATTGTAACACATGCCCACTCTGTTGGGGGATGTTGATGATGGGGGGCTATGCATGTGGGGGG